CAGTCATGCCCTTTGGTATTTATTGAAAGGAGTTAAAAACATATGTCCACACAAAAATCTGCACACAAATGTTTATAGCAGCATTATAAATAATTGCCAAAATCTGGAAGCAACTGAGATGTCCTTCACAAGGTGAATGGATAAATGTGATACATTCCAACAACGGAATATTATTCAGCACCAAAAAGAAATGAGCTATCGAGCCATGAAAAGATGTGGAGGAATCTTAAAATGCCCATTACTAAGTGAAAGAAACCAATCTGAAGAGACAATCTACTGTACAATTCCAAATACATGGCATTCAAAAAAAGGTAAAACTACAGAGTCAGTAAAAATATCAATGGTTGCCAGGGGGTGGGAGAAGAGAGGGATGAACAGGCAGAGCAGAGAGGATTTTTAGGGCAGTGAAACCACTCTGCACGATACCATAATGGTGGATACATTATATATGTCATTTTACATTTGTCCAAACCCATAGAATGTATACCACCAAGAGTGAACCCTAATGTAATGACTATAGAATTTGGGTGATTATGACATGACAACGTAGTTTCATCGATTTTAACAAATGTACCAGTCTATGGGGGATGTTATAAGTGGGGGAAGCTGTGCATGAATGAGGGAAGTATATGGAAAATCTCTGTGCTTTCTGCTCACTTTTGGTGTGAAACTAAAACTGCTCTAAAAACTAAAGTTTATTTTGAGAAAAATAAATAAAAGGGGAGAAAAGGATCTTCTACGGTAAATTATTAGAACTCTACTCTTCCTTCACAGATATAAATAAATCTTACAACATACATTTTGTTTACTTCCCACAAAACATTTGTGAGCTCTGAGTTAAAAAAGAATAAGAGAAGGCTCAGAAGAGCTAAGTAATTCACTCAAGGCCATTTGACTGGTTATATGTGGGAGTAAATTCTGAAATCAGGGATTTTAATTCCAAAAGTCCAAAATACTTTCATCTAAAAGACTTCTGAAAGCCAAACAACATCCATTCTAAAGCAAAAGTTTCCAAACACCAGTTCATTACAAAGATTTAATCTGGCAAACTGTAAAACAAAAAATACAGTAACTATACACAGTGACTAACAGAGGTTGGCAATGACCTTTCTTGCAAAGGATGGCATTTATTCCGAGCTTACAGTGTCAGTACTTAGCTTTAAAATATATTCCTTTGGGGCACCTGGGTGGCTCAGTGGGCTAGCCAACAGACTCCTGATTTCATTTAAGGTCATGATCTCACTCACGGTTGTTGAGATGGAGCACTGCATCCGGCTCTGCGCTGACAACAATCCCCTGCTTGGGATTCTCTCTCTTTCTCTCAAAATAAATGAATGAATATACATATATATATATATATATATATATATATATTAAATAATGGCGGCATGGGTGGTGTAAGTATGCTTTTCAAACACCATTATAACACAAAATTAAAAGATAAAAATTAATCCATCCCTACCAAAAAACAAAAAACAAAAAGGTCCCCAGGAGTCTGGTTGCCACGGCTCTAGGAACTCCCAAGCTGTCTCTACCAGCCTCAGAAAAGACTGGGGAAAAGCAGAAAGGCCCGGCTACTGAGGCAGCTGTCCTCATTGTTTGACTCGAGCACCACAGACACACAAAGACTCAGAGGTGCTGTCTTCACTACCTTCCCCACGTCGCCATCTGCCCAGTCCAAGCCACGACGTCCACGCCAACACGGAACTGAGTAGGGGCCGTGCTGGGGGCCAGTGGCCAGGAGGGGTCGGCTAGGTGTGCGCTGCCCTAGGGAGCTCATGCCCGCTTCTCCGGCCGCCCACCCGACCCCAGCTTACCCCGCTCACCCGGGATTCCCGCTGCGCTTCCGGCCTTAGGTACCGCCGCCCGGGCACCAGAACTCCAAGAGATGACACGGGAACAGGACGCAACTGCGGCCGAGGACCAGAATAATGGCTGACCCGCTCGTACCGCTACTTCCGGTTGCTCACCAGCCCCTCCCATCCCTGGCTCTCTGGCAAGCCATATCTCTATGATTCGTTTTCGCCAGAGTAGAAGAGGCCGGCCGAGCTTCCGGGCGCTTGGGTTTCCATTACTCCGAACGAACTGATGGAAGCTGTTGCATCCCACACGTAAAGGATGCGACGGTGAATAATATGGCCCAGGCCCTCGGGACACTTGTTGGCTCCTAAAGGAGCTGAACCTACTATCTTAGCTTATACCACCTGGACTTGTATAAAGAAGGTCATAGCTCTTGAAATACACTGTGCTTTGGAGAGACCCAAAAGCGGTAGTCCTGAAATCAATCTAGTGTCTCCTAGCCTTAGAAATGACTGGGGAGGGGCTCCAGGGTGGCTCAGTCGGTTAAGCGTCAGACTTCGGCTCAGGTAATGATCTCGGAGTTCATGGGTTCCAGGCCAGAGTGGGGCTCTGTGCTGACAGCTCAGAGCCTGAAGCTGGCTTTGAATTCTGTGTCTCCCTGTCTCTGTGCCCCTCTCCCGCTTGCACTCTCCCTCTCAAAAATAAACATTAAAGAGGCACCTGGGTGGCTCAGTCGGTTAAGCGTCCGACTTCAGCTCAGGTCACGATCTCATGGTCCGTGAGTTCGAGCCCGGCGTCGGGCTCTGTGCTGATGGCTCGGAGGCTGAAGCCTGCTTCCGATTCTGTGTCTCCCTCTCTCTCTGCCCCTCCCGTTCATGCTCTGTCTCTCTCTGTCTCAAAAATAAATAAAAACGTTAAAAAAAATTAAAAAAATAAATAAATAAACATTAAAAAAATAAAAAAAAAAAAAGTGGCTGGGGAGCAGAACAAAATGTAACTCGGGCCCTTCCCAGTCCAAGAGATTGTGCAGATACTTTTGGGTACTGAAAAATGTTAGTAGTTACTACACAGATGAAGAGATTATTTCTACATACTAAATTATTTGAGTCAGGTATTAAAAGCACCTTCTGCTTGTGACCTGCAGTATATGCCATCTGTTCTCTATATACCATAATCACTTTGGCCTACCTGTGAATTTTGTGCAACTCTTGAGGAATGGTTCTATCCATCTTAACATTCTTCCATCTCCAGTGGGCACCATGACATCTCCGGTTATTTTGCCTCAGGGCTTTCTCTTCCAGCCCGTCTCAGGTACTGCCTGGAAGAAGTGGTGAGAATAACAGCCCCAAGGGCAACCCAGAAGAATGACAAATAAGAATTGGTGCATAAATACCCAAGCTTCCTGTGCTTTGACAAAAAAACTCTCAGCTATGTCCCACATGGGTTCTTAGGGGGCCCCAAGTGAGATTGAGCCTTAGTTGCTCAGACTGGAACCACTCAATATCTCACACTTTATTGGCTTTTCCTCTATTGTCTGCCTTATTCTCCCTGCTTCTCTCTTCTGCTTCTTGGGATCACCCCTCCCCCCGCAGTTATCTACCTATCCCTAAGTCCTTATCTCAAGTTATGCTATTGGAGAAACCTAAACTTACAATCAACAATTTAGATTCAAATAAAAATGTGCCTTCATCAATGCCCAATTTTGTGAAAACCCATGTATCAGTCTGGCTGGAGACTAATTATCTTGTTCCAGAGGATCCAGGAGCTAATTCTTTAACTTCTAGGTTAGATAGGACTTTTATAGGGACATGGATTAGCAAGCTTTAACACATCTCATCCTCCTGAATGGTACAGTAATGAGGAAAAGAAAGCATCCCTGGTTAAAGAGGGGTCTATGGTTAAATTTCTTACCACATGGAAAGGGATCCAAGCCCAACTAGCTAGAAGAGACTATGAGAAACAGGTCCTCATGGAGAATGTACCTTGATGGATGACAGTCTGGGAGCCTCAACAACAAAAATAAATGAATCTTTACCCTAGTGTTTTACTGTGAATGTAACTCAGTTGCTTCCTGTATATCTGTTTTCTCTCTACTTTTTCCACTGCTGCTCAGCTGTGAAGAAGAATCATCTGTCCCCCTTATAGCTTCTTCATTTTAGTTTCTGTTCTCTCATACTTTATTTGCTGTGGCTCCTAATGCTCCCTCCATGCATCATTTCATCTTCAGTTCCTGCTTTTAACTGCCTTATTTTTGTCCTGTTTCCAATTGAAAATTTCCATAGAGAGGTATTCCAGTTGGATCAGCCATTAAATATCATCTCTGTTTGGGCAGAGCTTTTGCCCCACCCAAGTCATAGCAGAGGTTGAAAATTAACCTAGAGATAAGCTTCACATGGGTCAAGTGCCTGATGCTGGTCCAATCACCTGTAGTCCATTATGGACTAAGTAGGGTCACTTGGAACAAAATATGGTTACCTCAGCTTCCCTCTCAACCAAAACTGGATCAGGGAAGCCTCCTGGAAGATGATTTTGGCAAGGCAGTTTCTGTGATTGACTAGGCTAGGACAGTAGTCAACTATGGAAAAGGTGGGCTTAAAAGTCAGGAACTCTGACATCTTCAACGTCTCATATACTAAAATGGCATGATAGTTTGTGGCCCTGGTCACAACTTGATTGAAAGTAATCAACATTTTCATGTTTAGCAATCATGATCATGATTATTCCGTCTTCTCCCATATTTGATTTGAGGTGCTTGCCACCTCTTTGTCTCCTCAACATCTTCTCCATGAGCCATGGTACCAAACAATGTGATGGTTGGAAAAGACCTTAGAGTTAATCATTTTACTAAGGATCTTACTTCTGTGAGATCATACCACAAAGTTGTCTGCTTTTCAACTGCCCTTCTAACTTGACTATGATGGTTCACCATTTGTCTGTCCTGGTATCTCTTCTACTCTCCTGAATTTATCAACTTCCTCTTCTCTATTTCTTTTCTGTCCCTGAAGAAAAAAAATGAGCTATTTCCAATTTCCCCTCCTGTTTTCAATGTGTCACCTCATTCCTTACCCATATGTGAAGGGTTTTGTTGTTTTTGTTTTTGTTTTGAGGTATAGGTTTCTTAGAGATTCTGTTTCAACCACAGGAAAATAAACTAGTAAAATCAGTTTTCTTCTTTATTTTGGCAGACAATAAGAACAGGGATGCAGAGTTCAGAGTTGACTCCAAAGAAGGAAATTTCTAAAAGGTCAGAATCATCGAATGGGACATCAGGAGGATCCTGTGTGGTGGTTCCTGAGGGATCAGAAGCTATAGGCCTGTAAAGATACTTCAGAGGAACTAAAAGGTCAACCCTCACATGGAGAAGGAGGTAAATTGGAAAGTGATTTCTTGGGAGTAATAAACAAGGAATGTTTAAAACACACAAAAAAGATGGATATGCTGAACATAAGGAACATCCTAATATGTCCTTCTGAACATCAAGGAGTTCTGAAGGAACAGAAATTCTATCAATGTGGTAAACGTGGCAGATCTGTCAATCAGAGCTCATCCCTCAATGGGCATCAGAGAATCCACACTGGAGAGAAGCCTTAAGAGTGTGGTAAAACTGTCAGGCAGAACTTTCCATCCAATGTATATTTTATCTCAGACATTATAATTTTAGAGGTTCAATTTGGGTGGTTTTATTTCTTCCATGTCTGAAAGTTCAATCTTTCCTCTAAGTTTTTGATTATGTGATATATAGTTATAATAATTGTTTTAATATCCTTGTTGGTTAATTCTAATATCTATATCAGTTCTGGGTCAGTTTTGATTGACTGATCGTGTATATCTATAAATACAGGTTGTAATTCCTGTTTGTTTGCATGCCTGATAGTAAGTGTATGCCAGATATTTTGATTTTTACTTTGTTGGGGTCTGGATATATTTTGTTCCTATGAATATTCTTGAGCTTTTTTTAGAGAGTTATACAGGTAATTACATTATGGTCAGAGAACATGCTTTGCATTCTTTCAATCCTTTTAAAAGTACTGAGGTTTGTTTTATCATCTACTATATGGTCTATCCTGGAGAATATTCCATATGCACTTGAGAGAAATGTATATTATGCTGTTCTTAGGTTCAGTGTCCTAGAGATGTACATTAGGTCTCTTTGGTTAAAAGTGTTCAAGTCCTCTATTTCTTTGTTAATCTCTGATTTTTCTATTTTTTTTTAATTTTTAATGTTTATTTATTTTTTTTAAATTTTTTTTTTTTTCAATGTTTTTTATTTATTTTTGGGACAGAGAGAGACAGAGCATGAACGGGGGAGGGGCAGAGAGAGAGGGAGACACAGAATCGGAAACAGGCTCCAGGCTCCGAGCCATCAGCCCAGAGCCTGACGCGGGGCTCGAACTCACGGACCGCGAGATCGTGACCTGGCTGAAGTCGGACGCTTAACCGACTGCGCCACCCAGGCGCCCCTGTTTATTTATTTTTGAGAGAGAGAGAGAAAGCATGAGCAGGGGTAGGGCAGAGATAGAGGGAGAGAAAAAGAGAATCCCAAGCAGGCTCCACACTGTCAGCCCAATGCAGGGCTCGAACTCACGAACCATGAGATCATGACCTGAGCCAAAACGAAGAGTCGGACACTTAACCAACTGAGCCACCCAGGCAACCCTAATTTATCTATCTATTCTTGAAAATAGGGTATTGATGTTTCCAACTATTGTTAAAATGTCTATTTCTCCTTTCATTCCTGTCGTTTTTTTCTTTCATATATTTTGGGGGTCTTTTTTTAAGTTTGTTTGTTTGTTTATTTATTTATTTTGAGAGAGAGAGAGAGAGCAAGCACATAAGCAGGGGAGGGCCAGAGAGAGAGGGAGACAGAATCCTAAGTAGGCCCACACTGTCAGCACAGAGCCCAATGCAGAGCTTGAACTCATCAACTGTGAGATTATAGACTGAGTCAAAACCAAGAGTCAGATGCTCAACCAACTTGGCCACCCAGGCATCCCTGGGGTGTTTGATTAGATGCATATATAATTGTTTCATCTTCCTGATGGATTAACTCATCCCATTTCATATCATTATGAGATGTACCTCTTTATTGCTAATGACTTTTTTCCTGTTTCAAAATCTATTTTGTCTGATATTAGTATAACCATTCCATCTTTGTTATGGTTGCTGTTTGCATGATATATCTTTTTCTATCCTTTTACTTTAAAAAAATGTTTATTTACTTTGAGAGAGAGTATGTGAGCAGGGGAGGGGAAGACAGAGAGAGAATCCCAAGCAGGCTCTGTGCTACTAGTGCGGAGCCTGACTGAGGGCTCAATCCCACCAACCATGAGATCATGACCTGGGCTGAAATCAAGAGTCAGACACTTAACCAACTGTGCCACCCAGGCACCCCTATCCTTTTACTTTTGATCTATTTGTATCTTTGAAACTAAAGTGTGTCTCCTATAGAAATATATAGTTGTATGTTGTTTCTTTATCCGGTCTGAGCATCTCTGCTTTTTATTTGATTTCTTAACCCATTCACATTTAATGTGATTATTGGTGTAGTTTGATTTATGTTTGCCATTTTACCTTTTGTTTTTCATACATCTCATGCCTTGTCCTCCTTTACTTCTTTCTTTTGCATTAAGTGAATATTCTAATATAATATGTTAATTCCTTTAATGATTTTTTTCACTGTATTTTTTACATTATTACTTAGTTGTTGTTCTTAATATATATCTTAAGTGATGAGAATCTAATTCAGATTTATACTAACTTCCAGTGAGATACAAAACTGTGTAGTTCCCACATATCTCTCTTTTCTTTCCCCCATTTTTGTGCTATTATTATTATAATTATACCCTTATGTAATTTTGTGTCTTTTAAAGAAGCTGAAAGACAGCAAGTATGTCTTATGGATCCTCCCAGGGTGGGTAAGTGTTGCATCCACACAAGTCCTGAAACAGAATGCTACGGCACCAGTGACAGTCACAGCAAAGTTTATTGCAACGAAAGGCAAGGCCGACCAATCGGGCCAACGCTCTTGATCAGAGTGTGGCCTCGAACAGCCGGGTACGGAGTTTTTATAGTCGACCACATCATCTTGTCATCACCTGGGAACAGAACAAAGAAATAGTTCCCAGATGGGGGTGGAAACAGTTCTGCCACCCCAACCAGTTGACCTCCTTGACCCTGCCTCTGGCGCCACTTTTAAAACAAGGCTGTTATCTCTTAGCCTACAGTGTCAAAACAAAGCTGTTATTTCTCAAGGCTACAGGTTAGCCCTACACTACAATTTAACCCTTACAGTGAGTACATCTTAAATGAAAAATTCACTCTGAACATTGCAATCTCTCTAAGCCTTTAAATTCCTTTCCTCTAGTGGCACCTCAGTCAGTTAAGTATCCAACTCATTTTTGTTTTGTTTTGTTGTTTGGGTTTTTTTTTTAATGTTTATTTTTGAAAGAGTGCACGTGCACATGAGAGAGAGAGAGAGAGCGCGCAGTGGAGGGGCACACAGAGAGGGAGACAGAGGATGTGAAACAGGGTTCTTGCTGTCAGCCCAGAGCCCGATGTGGTGAAATCATGACCCCAAGCAGAAGTCAGACGCTTAACCAACTGAGCCACCCAGGCGCCCCAAGCATCCAACTCTTGATATCAGCTCATGTCTTGATCTCAGGGTTGTGAGTTCCAGCCCCACATTGGGTTCCATGCGGAGTTGGAGCCTACATTTAAAAAAAAAAAAAATCCTTTCTCTAAATTAAACAAAGGGAGATTGGGAATTTCCAATTCACTCCCAGGGGGCTATCTTTTGGTTTGTGTTTCAGCCAGTCAATCAAACAAACTCCCAGAGTTTACCAATTCAAATGCTAAACTCTTCTAGAAATAACTTCACAGACACACCCAGAAATAATATCTTATCAACTATATGGTATCTCTTAGCCTAGTCAAGTTCAATATAAAGTTAACCATCACAACAGTTTATCCCTTTAATTGATGTGGAATCTCATCTAATTAACATCATCTCATTCAATCCTGATACAGGTACTTTCTGTCTTCTTTTCATCTTTACTAAGTCTTATAAATTTTATTGATATTTCTGAAATAACTACTTTGGAGGCCACCTGGGTGGCTCAGTTAGTTAAGCATCTGACTTTTGATTTTGGCTCAGGTCATGATATCGTGGTTGTGAGATCCAGCCCTGCATTGGACTCTGCACTGACAGTGCACAGAAACTGCTTAGGATTTTGCTGCTCTCTCCTCTCTCTCTGCCCCTCCCCTCTTTGCACGCTCTCTCTCTCTCAAAATGAATAAACTAAACTAAACTAAAATAACCACTTTGGGTTTCATTGATTTTCTCTATACTTTTCCTGTTTGTTTTCTAGTTTTCCACTTTGACCATATTATTTCATTTCTTCCTATTTTGACCCTCATTTGCTCTTCTGATTCTAGTTTCTTAAACTTTCCTCTTTTTTAAAAAAAATTTTTTTAACGTTGATTTATTTTTGAGACAGAGAGAGACAGAGCATGAATGGGGGAGGGTCAGAGAGAGAGGGAGATACAGAATCTGAAACAGGCTCCAGGCTGTGACTGTCAGCACAGAGCCCGACGCGGGGCTCGAACTCATGGACCGAGAGATCATGACCTGAGCCAAAGTTGGATGCTTAACTGACTGAGCCACCCAGGCACCCCTCCTCCTTTCTAATATACACATTTAGTGCTATAATTTCCCTCTAAATACTGCTTTAACAACTCTCCATAAATTTTGATTTTCTGAGTCAATTCAAAATACTTTCTAATATACTTTTTATATTATGTTTGAAATAAAGATTTCATTTTTTATTTAAAAGTGCGTTTAGTTTCAATATTTGAGGATTTACAGGGGTCTTGCTATTATTGATTCAATTTTAATTCCATTGTGGTATGTTCTGTTGTTGCTGGCTAGAGTGTTCTTTAAGTGTCCGTTGGTCACTTGGTTGGTAGTATTGTTCAAATTTTCTTTATCCTTGTTTTCTCTCTACTTATTCAATCATCTATTGAGAGAGATGTGTTGAAATCAACTATGCATGTGGGTTTGCCTATTTCTACTTACAGCTGGATCAGTTTTCACTTCATGTATGTTAAAACTGTTTTTAGGTGTATAAATGTTTAAGATCATGTCTTCTTGATGAACTGACCCCTTTTCATTAGGAAATGACCTATTTGTGTATAAATCATACATTTTATTAACTCATTATGATAGCATGGAAAAAACTAACTTCATTAACTTGTTTTGGATTTACATGGAATAATCTTTATGAGCACTTTATTTTATAATTTTCTAATGTTTACTTATTTTTGAGAGAGAGAGCCAGAGCTTGAGTGGGGGAGGGGCAGAGAGAGGGAGATACAGGATCCAAACCAGACTCCAGGCTCCGAGCTGTCAAC